TCTTCTTCATTACTAGAGTCGCCGCGTCTTCTTCCCTGTGATCTCTCCGCCTTTCAAAAAAAAATGGTATTTTTATTTCTCTTTCTCTGTTACTGGATCTTTTTTCCTAAATTAATCCTTTGAAAATTTCAATCATGATTTTATTTTAATCGAAAACAGGCGCCGAAGAAGGACAGCAAGGCTCCCCCTCCGTCCTCGAAGCCCGCGAAATCTGGCGGCGGCAAGCAGAAGAAGAAGGTCCTGATCTGAACTTTTAGGGTTAGGGTTTTGGATTCTGTCATATTAGACCCTAACTTCTTTCTTAGTTTTATGTTATGCCCCCCCCCCAAAATCTTCATATTTCTACGGCTTATTTTGCACCTGAATATCCGAAGTTTCACCCTTTACTACTAATTTTGATGCCCTGAAGTTCCCTTTTGACTGTTTGATACTCTAAAGTGAGGAAAAGTTGATGTCAATTTTGTTCAAGAATATTAACATAAAAAAGGGAAGCGGTTTTCTTATCAATTTTTTTTTTCTGAGTTCGGGGAAAGTAATTAACACAAGGCTTTGGGGGTAACAAGTAGCTAAACTAATGTTTATTTGGAATAGATATCTAGGATATCGAAGTCTCTGTAATTGTTACCATAGTATGGATACTCTTGGAATTAATAGATTTGTAGGGGTGATTTAGAAATATGAACATTTTGCAATGTAATGTAAGACCCAAATTTGATGGTTTTATTCAAATAACTAAAAAGATTTGGGGTGTAGATTAGACATGAAAATTTGGGGGCCTAATATACAACTAAGAAAGAATTTACAGTCTAATGTGACATAAACCCTGAATAGAAACAACATGAGTAGTTTTGGAGTTTAAATACAGAGTTTTTGTCATACTAGACCCTCCAATCTTTGTTTGTAATATTAGACCATCAACAGTTCATATTTCTCAATTGTATTCCCATAATTTTAATATTTGTTTGTAATGAGGGTTTTATTTCGGGGTGTAAATTTAATTATGTGGGTGTTATAAAACAGTTTACTGGATTTGGGGGGTCTAATTTAAAGAAATATATGAAGATTTAGGGTCAATTTAATATCACACATGCGACGGTGGAGCAATGATTTTTATTTTTATTTTTATTCTTTTTTTTGGGGGGGGGTGCAAAATGCAACGTTAACTACACCAAGTAAACACCAAGCAAAAAAACAATGTATAATAAATTTTCATATATCTCAATGTGTGAAATAAGAATTTAGAATAGAAGTTACTGTACGCTATAAATTATACTATTAAAATTTATTTCAAACTGTAATAAAAAGAATGGAAGCAATTTTAACTATGACATTTATAAAATAAATGCAACACTACATATGACCATAGAAAACCATTTATAAAATATAGAAATCTTATTTCACATGCTGCTTAATTTAAAACTTCATTAAGTTGGAGGAACATCATTGGACAATTCCACCGCAAAGTGCAAGATCACGTTAATAGAGACCTTATTTTATCTACTATTAAATGCAAAACTACATGAGAATTGAACTCTATTTCCCTGTTCTACTTAAAATGCGAAAAATTATGTGAATTACAAAATGGAAGCCTATAGTATTTCAGATTGCAATATAATATAGGATAAAAAAAGACAATAATTTACTGATGATAATCATGTAGATGTGAGAATCTTAATATTTTTTACCAAAATGCATACCCACAACACCTTAGAAATACGCACATGAGAAATATTTTTTTAATTTGGAATGGATAAATTTAAAATATGTTGTTTTATACCCTTATAGTATATTTCTATACAACCTTATAGTGTGTTACTGTACAGACGGTTACTTTTTCATACCAGTATATTGTCTTATGTTTTAAGTCAAGTCAAGCGGATGGGAGGTGTTAGGGAATATGTGGGTTCAAAGGTAAGAGAGCAAAGCTTTAGGGTTTAGTAAGCAAACCCTGATATGGATAGTATTCCCAATTTTCAAAACCTTTTTTGTTTGGGGGGGGGGGGGGGGGGGCATGGGGCCCTAAGCACACATGCATCACAGATTCACTATAACTGTTTAATTCCTAACAATTTTAGTATGGATCAGGAGTGTTTTGTTGAACTTAATAGATTAGTTGGTTTCTTGAAAACTTGTTGTATATGGAAGGAGGTTTCGTGTAATTTGCCCATTTATTTTTTTTATTTTTTATTTTTGCTAGATTGATTAGTGTTTCTGTTGTGCTTGCAGAAGTGGAGCAAGGGAAAGCAAAAGGAGAAGGTAAACAATGCGGTCCTCTTTGATCAGGCCAGTTACGATAAGATGCTCACTGAGGTTCCCAAGTATAAGCAGATTACTCCCTCCGTGCTCTCTGAAAGATTGAGGGTAAGGATTTCAACTTTATGCTCTTAGATTTTGGTTTATTTCTTAAGAGTACATCAATTCTAGAAGGTTTCGGTATTGAATCACCTGAGATGATCTAAACTGAGTTTTGATGTTGTCACTGTTGCTCTGAACAGTTTTTTCAAAGTTATTTTTGCATAAATTACTAGGTATTTTTTTTTTACAATAGATGAAAAGCTATTGAAATACATATGGATGCATGTGTTTGTGTGTGCACGCACACATGCTTCCCCTTATGTGCATGGTTTTGAGCTCTTAGTGCAACTCTTATGCCTACACTATGCGTCCATATCACAGGTGTGTTATGTGGAACATGGTTATGAGCACTTACTGTGTCTATGCTTGTTTTCGTGGGTGTTGGTGCATGAGCGTGTATGCATATATGTTTTTGTTTGCGCATGCAGTCTATGTGTGTCCGTGCATACTCGTGTGTATGCATGTGTGCACGCATGCTCATATTTGTACGCATGCGTGCGTGTGCTTGTGTGTGCGTGTGTCAGAGTGAGGGAATACACAGTTAACCATTCTTTCAATGTATTTTGATGAATAATCCACTAATTAAAATAGTTTTAACCCGTGCAATGCATTGTGGTGTGGTTAATTAATGGTATCTTGATAAGTGAACGGATTATTAGGTCTTTAGATAACCTGTGCTTTAGTCATAAGATTTCTCATTCATCAGGAGTCATCAAGATAGCTAAAAGAAAACAAAAGCGTCATGTATCATATTTCCCCCTTTTCTCGCTTATTTAACTGAATTTTTATTTTTCTATGACCCAAACACCGTTGCCATTCTATTTCATAACTTGAGTACATTCAAGCTAGGTATTTTAATGGAAAAAGCTTAGCGAACATTTAAGCATGAAAAGTTTTCTTTACACTTTATGTTCAGCAGCATTTTATTGTGTATGCAGCATCTGACAATTTCTCTGTCAACAGATCAATGGATCACTTGCAAGAAGGGCGATAAAGGACTTAATGGAGAGGGGCGCCATTAGGGTGGTATCAGCCCATTCCAGCCAGCAGATCTACACGAGAGCCACCAACACCTAGAGGCTTGGGGTTTTCCCTACTAAGACTAAGATTGTCTCTCTATGCTTCTCTTTGTTTCGGAGATTAGAGGCTAAGATTTCTCCCTATATTTCTCTTTGTTTCAGAGATTGGTGATGTTTGAAATTTTGTCTCCTATTGCTTGTTTATGTTGATGTTGAAGAATTCCGTTGAGAACCTTGATTATTTCTCTTGTTTTGTGTGTTAATGGAGTATTTGTGATGCATTAGCTTAACTCATGTGAATGACTTGGGTACATATTTTTGGTTGGATAATCGTTGGTTTGCATGCGCTTCACTTCCTGGTTGTCAAAATTTTCTCTTATCAAATTGCTGATCGATGCATTATTGTGAACCGAGAACTTCGATTTGCAGAATATGAGTTTTGTAGAAGCTCGAGGTTCGTACTTTTGCCTCTCCGCTCTAAACAAACATTTAGATGTCAGCGATTCAGCAACAAGTAATAACATACCATCAATTATTCATTATTCTCTTATTCAACTCTTTCTGTGTTCTAATCGTTTCTATTGAATATACTTCTTTGGTTTATTTTTTTTTTATCTTTCTGTTGATCATCATAATCACATGAATGCTTCATAGATGATTAATGAATTAGCTGAATAAGCACGAGTTTATTGCCACGGAAAAGGCAAAAAAAACGGGAGAGAATGTCATACCTACAAAAAGCTTCTTTTGAGTATCAAAGCTAATATACAACAAGCACCATGAGTTTTTTTTAATGAATAATTAATCATTGATTCATTATAGCAAACAAATTGAGAAAAATCAACCTAAAACTCAAAACTTTACACGAACACTGCAGTCAACGTCATTTATTTAACACACAACTTTAAAAAAAAAAGTGGAAATCTAAAGCGCACTACTTCTTTGCTCTCTTTTGCATCATTTGCTTCTTATTTTACTTAAAATTTAGTTTGATACTATAAAAACACATTTACGCATAAATTTCCTTAGTACAAGGAATATAATTAATAATTTATTTAACACATAACTTTTAAAAAAGTGGAAATCCAAAGCACTACTTCTTTGCTCTCTTTTGCATCATTTGCTTCGTATTTTGCTTAAAAGTTAGTTTGATACTACTATTAAAAACACATTTATGCATATGTTCCTTAGTACTAGGAATATAATTAATAAATTATCTGCAACAAAAAGAATCATTGGCACAACAAAGAAGTACGAAGCACACCCACCCCAGTTGAGTCAAAAGCACTACAGAATTTTTTTTTTTTTTTTTTTTTTTTTTTTCTAAATTTTTTTTTTTTTTTTTTTTTTTTTTTTGCCAAAATAAGAGGATCTTACTCTGGTGTGAGGTGATATGGTCATAGGATGATCCTAGAATTAGAGGAAAAGAGTTTCTACAAAGTCTGAATTATTTCAAAATATTCTCTTGTTCTATTCCATCTGGCAATAAAGGCTAATGTTGAAGATTTGAATTTTAAGGATGATCCAGCAACTATCACGGATTTATAACTTATATTCGAGATTATCATCTTTCTATCTGGTTAGCTCATTATTGTTTTTCAGAAAAACAGAAAAAATAAATCTAGTAAATTGCAAAAATACGTGTGAAAATGATGCGTTGAGATAATATAGAACACCTGACAATAGAAAAGTGTTTTTGCTTTATGGTTAGAGGGGGGATCAGTGAAAGCGGGAGGGGGCTCCAAATAATGTACATGCTCTTGTTCAATATGTATATTTTGCATTGTTGAAGGAGAAGGGCGATATGTAAATGTCACACAAGTTATTCTTGTTCAATATGTATATTTTGTTATCCTTGTAGCCAGATGATATGTATGTACTCCTTCGTTGTAGCGGGATAATATGTATGCATGTGTATTGTAGCAAGCCGGATGATATGTATGTATTCCTTCGTTATAGAGGGATATATGCATGTATTTATATCGTAGCAAGATGATATGCATGTTTGCATGTATTCTTTCGTTATGGTGGTGTGTATGTAGTGCACCTCACTCACATTTGTTTTGTTTTCGGATGCCCCTTTTCCACCTTCTTGCTCTCATGTCTCTCGAGACGTTATCTCCATTAATTATTATGAGTTAAACCATTGAAAGAATTTGAATCCTAACCAGTAGAGCTCTAGTTTGAGTGGACATTGTCATTCAACTAGACAATAATATTATTATTGAAAGGGTTTTATTTTTCCTAGAAACCACCTTTAAAATAGGGTCATTCCACGGGAACCACTTTTGATTGTCAATTTATAAGTAAACTGCCTTTCAATGATTTTTTATTACCATTAACCACCTGGACTCACTTTTAAGTCAAAGATTTTTTGGATTTGCTAAAATAATTAACTGTTAGATACAAGTATATTAGAGAGTTGATCTTTAATTGAGCTTAGGTGGGATTAGCTGTTAAATACAAGTATATTAGAGAGTTGATCTTTAATTGAGCTTAGGTGGGGTCAATTTCCGAAAAATCTTAACTGGAAAGTTTGCAAGGTTGATTGCAAAAAAAAAAGCTCATTAAAAGTGGTTTATGTATAGATTAACAATTAAATATGGTTTCAATAGGATGACCCTATTTCAAATGTGGTTTCTGTGTGTGTGTAAACTTTGAGTTATTTGTGCTAGGTGCCCCAAAGTTTACACCATTAATTTTGACACCCAAAAAGCTTTTGCCTAAAAAATACTCTACAGGTTAATAAAAACATTGACATGCTAAAACTACTTAAGAGGAGGTATTTAAGTTAATTTTTTTTTAAAATTAGGGCATTTGAGCAAAAAGAACTTTAGGATATGAACTAAAAATGATGTAAATTTTGGGTTATTTATTAAAAATGATGCAAATTTTGAGTGCAACCAAGCGTTATTTGATGGCAAATTACACCCGTTTTTTTAAGAAGAAAGTCCACGACCATTGTAATAGGGCATGAGTTTAGAGGCTTATACTATATATTAATAGCAATCCTAATCAAGTTGCTTGCTTGAGTATGACCTTGCCTTTGCGTATTCACCGTCAGCTGAGACAAACGTTATCATAGATTCCACAGAGATACAACCTGAATCTGAGTCACGGCAAATCTTCGGACTGTCAATTCCATAAACATCAATAAACTTTCTATTCTCCTAGAGTCATCCTAGAGTTGATAAACGAGCAAGTAGTTCTTTGCTCTTGGACATTTATTGCCTAGTAAAATTCAAGATGAGTACAACTCAGCAAATACGGAACATTCAAGAATTAGGATTGGTATTGCACTAAACCTATACCAACAAATAATGATCCTTACAGATTTGAGCTGTTCTTGTATCCTCTATGAATACTTCGGACGCAATATTATGAGCTAGATCTTGAACTTTCTCAAAATCTTAAGGAAATAAATTTGGCCTAGATTTCAGTAAATACTATGATAATACTATAGCATAAACAATAAATTTTTGGATTCTCAAAGTAGAGAGTAAATTTACTGTTTATATTATAGTAATTTACTGTATTATGAACACCACCATTTTAAATATAGAGCAGTAGATATTATTTCTAATTTTAAACATACAACAATCAAATCAAATGTATTAAACCTTGGAGGGAGACATGTTCAAAATGCAATGCTTAAAAAAAACATGAGGTCATGCTTTGCACAGGGTACACACTAGTATAATAGATAAAAGAATAAAAATTTCTATGGGAGAGCAGAAGTAAAATATAGATCTAGTAATTGTCCAACATGCACAGAATATGGTACTGAACAAAAGTAACATACTAGTTAAAGATCAGAGGGTCAGCACAGTGAAGTATTACAAGGTATGCTCAAAGCTACAACCATTAGCTACCAAGATACAAACCAATACCTACTACATAATGCATTCCTTCCATAACCCTGCCAGCACCAAATGACAATTTTTTATTTTCAGTTAGGTTCTCCTGATTTCAAAATGTTCAACGAAGTGCTTCCTTTTACTCTGAAATATACATTCTAGTCCTCATTTAGGATTCCTGAGAACAATGATAACTGAATCCCCTCGAAGAAACATCTTACTGATGAATCTGTCCTTGTTAACGGGGAGTGCTTTCTTCTTACCCTTCCCAGTTTTTGGAATCTACAAACCACCAGAACATTAATCACGAGAAAGAGAAATACATGATATAAATGAATCTAAAAATTACTAGGCAAAAAGTCGGGGTTTTAAGATACCTCAGTCCACATTTCTCTTACGTTTTCCAGAACCATGTTGCAGTGGCGGTCAAAAGCCCTGACACGACCGAGAAGTTTCTTGTTGTTACGGCAATTGATCAGCACCTGGACAGAAAATTACATGTAGAAGAGTTAAGCTTCTTTCTAAGTTAAGAATTTTTTTATTAAAGTGGTGTAACATATGAAGCTATTTGCTAGTTAGGCAAAATGAAAATGAGAAAATCTTTTTCCATTGGCATTATATGACCCCAAACTTAATCACTATGCTATTTCATGTGCATTGATCCAGAAAAATAAAAGAGAAAAATCCTCATCCTAAAGCAATATTTTGCTCTAAGGATGTCATCACTTGCTATTACTTGATTCTAATAACCATTACTTTCTGAACTGGTTATAGCATAAAATACAATCAGCATCCATCATCATTTTTTCCCCAATGGAAGCAAGAATTTCGACTTGACTTCTCTGAAGATCAGGGATGGAAACAGATATTCCTGGCTTCGTATAAAAATGAAAGAGAAAATCCTCATCATATAGCATTATTTTGCTCTAAGTAAGCATATCATCACTTGCTATTACTCGGTTCTGAAAACCATTACATTCTGAACTGGTTGCAGCACAAAATATAATCAGCATCCATTATAATTATTTCCAATAAAAGCAAGAATTTGGAAAGTGAATTCTCTGGAGATCGGGAATAACATAAATACTATACTGGCTTCATATAAAAATGTAAGAGGGAAGGCACATATGCCTTACCTGTGTGTTATTCTTTACGCTCATCGCCAGAACAGAGAGAGGTCCCGTATTGAATTCCTCTTCCTCTTTCTTTGCAGCCTGTCAAAGAAAGAATTAGGACAGTATAACAACTTAGTAATGAACAGATTCAGTCAGACGAGGAAATAAGCTAACTTCTGTGTGCTACGAATAACCATTATGAAAATAGAACACAACAAATGCACCTGATAGAACTGTTACCAGTTGTTGTACTCTGCTGCACACCAAGTGAAATTATAGAACTATGGCAGGTTTAGTTTCATGCTTCTTCTAGTAGTTAATGTAAGAGCTTCCACTTGGCGACGTGTTTCACTTGGCGACGTGTTTCAGTCGTTATTAATAGTGAGGCAGAACTTGCTAAAATTACAAATGTAGTTCGAAATTAAATATGCAACTATTTTTTTGAAGAATCAGTTTTCAATTACAGAATGGGGGCATTTAAGCAAAGAAGCATATCCAAAGATGTTGTCAAACTATATTTTAGAACTATAACACTATTTCACGAACAATAATCAAAAAGTTAGCTATGTGGATGAAGACATATAAACACAAGGGGACACATTGCATAAGAAGCATAGGAACTTCTCAAGTGAAAGAAAGTGAGATTTAGATGCAACAAGCATTTAGAAGGGCAACTTCGATGTCCATGGCAGTAAACATACATGTGCTACTATTTTTTGATTGAAGAAGTTCAGTAATAAAACTTGTTATCTATTCGCACTGCTGATGATGCACGGAAACATTAATAAATAATAACCATAGGGAGAAAACTGAGGGACAAAGTTTTTACTAAGCAATTAAACTGAAGGACAATGTAACCATGTCTGTAAGTATGGTGTACAAAAAAAGAGGGGGAAAATGGATCCCACATTCGATATATTAAACCAGAGAAATTTTTGAGATTGACTTGCATAACAAGGAGGATAGCCGAATAAACTTATCGAGCAAATAGTGTAATAAGAGTGTGGGTATTTATATGCGTCTCTGGGAGTTATAAAGATAAAATCAAAGGAGAAAACAAAATAAGAGGTTATTGAACAAATGAGACCTCACAGGGCATAGAAATGTAAACCACAGGAATTCGTAGCTAAAATAAAGTGATTGATAATCACATTTTATTACAATTTTATACTCTCATTATCTATTTTACATAAATATGTATATCACTAATAATTATTTTTATCTTAAATTTCAGGTTAATGAAGAAATAATGAATAAAAGCCCAAAAGTCCCCAACGTTCTCATTTTGTAACATTTTATTGAAGCCTAGAATCAAGCCGAGTAGCCTATAGAAGTCGAAGAAAATAAAAATTCCAATATGAAAAAAAAATCATATTCAATATGGTTGGCCGTAAAGAAACGACGATATCTCCCAATCCAGAAGATGGAATTTAACATATAATATATAAAAATCGCCTATCTCGACGAGACGAAGCTATTTGTGAAGTCAGAATTTGGATACAATGGGCATCGATGCTAGCATTGATACTAGCATCGGTGCATGCATCGATGCAGTTTTCCTGTAGCGAGATTAATGGCTGATTTTGAGTGGCTTGGGGCTCAAAGTCTGATTCAAGAGCTCTCATTCATTGTTGTATGATATAAATAAGGATAGAGAGTGAGGGGTTGAGGGTGTGAAAAATTTTATAACTCCATTTGGAGAGAAGGGTTACTCTTAATTGAAAAGACATTCCAAAATTATAATTTTTTGTTGCAATTAATAAAAGAATTTTTTCACATCTTCATATTTTTCTTTTCTTCTCTTTATTTGATGATGAAGATGAAGATGAAGATGGAGGTTTGCTTTCGCCTTGAGGCTAGAATTTTTTTGTTAATATTTTTATCATTTTGCTTTATTTTCTTGTTAAATAGCCAAGAGGCTAGAACCCTCTTGCCTTAGATTTATTTTCATGCTCTTGTTAAATAGCCAAGAGGCTAGAACCCTCTTGCCTTAGATTTATTTTCATGCTTATAGAGTAGATTTACTTTCATTTTCTCGCATTTAATAGAACCCTCTTGCCTTAGATTTATTTTCATGCTTATAGAGTAGATTTACTTTCATTTTCTCGCATTTAATTCTTACAATTTATTTTGTAATTTAAATTCTTACAATTTATTTTGTAGTTTAGATTTTTATTTTCTTGCACTATTCGCCTTGAGGCTAGAACCCTATTGGGATTAGTTTTTATTTTATTTAATTTTTATTTTCTTTGATTCGCCTCGAGGCTAGAACCCTCTAAAGAATTACCTTTTCTTTTTATGTGGAATTATTACTCGTAGGATTCTAGAAATTGCATGAAACTAGCTTTATTTCTTTTATAATTTGTTAATCATTCTCTTATGCTTAAATTGTTCATGTTTAGGATATTCAACTAAAAAACTAATTGGTAGAAGAAATTCTAGAATTACTATTTAGTTGTTATTCTTTTCATGAGTAATAATTTTATTTGGATGATAATTTGATAGGTTATACTTTTCTTGAGTGGTTTGATAATCTATACTTAATAAATCTAAAGTAGAATATGATAAAAAGAGGAATTATTCATATTTTATAAGTGAGATTAGCTAGTGGATTCAATTCTAGATTCTTCATTTCTTTAATTGAATCCTCCATCTTTTACTTTCTTGTTTTTTTCCTTTAATTCTTGATTTTTCTTTTATTGGTCTTGATTTTATTTTCTTCATCTTTCTTTCTTTTATTTTTGATTACATTGATTCTTTTTATTACATCCACTCTTTATCTATCCATTCTCAATCACATTTTGTGTTTATTCAAACACAATCACTCTCTCTATCTCTTCATAATCACATTCATCACTCCTAATTGTCACACACACAACATAATAACTGATTCTAATTATTTCTTACAAACACCTTCCTCATGGGATCGATAACTTTTTATACTATAACTTAACTGGTTGTGCACTTGCAACTTTTGGACATCATTTATGCCTCGTCAAGTTTTTGACGTTGTTGCCAGGGAAGATGTTTTAGTAGGATTTTAATTATTTTGGTTCTTTAACTTATGTGTTTTCTTGTGAAGGAACCACTTAGAGCTTGAAGATCAAGAATTGGAGATCGATGATTTGAAGATTTGCTTGAGATAAGTCTTCTATCTAGTATTTTCAATTCCACCCTCTAGTTAGTCTTCACAATTAGAGACAAGTAGGACTTAAAAAAAAATTATTTTCGTCGACCATAATAAAATTCACCTTCCACTTGAATAATTACTAACAAAATAATAGTTCAAACAATATCTCCCTTCTCACTTTTGTTTGATTGTTGACCATAATAAAAAAAAATTTCTTTTTACCATCTTTTTAGTCGCTTTCAATTCCTAGGATTGCATTGCATATAATAGTAGGAATTCACCAAAGTAATTTGAGCATCTTGATTGGCACACATTTTAAAATATTCTTAAGGACAAAACCCCCTAATCAAGATAATGTGAGGGATTTCATCACCCTTTCCTTAGCCCACAAATCATTAATTTCTCACTACACAAACTCAAGCCTCTTAAAATTCATTAGATGTTGACCCCTAAGGAGTCGAGCTCATTAAGGAACAAGGAATCACAAAGTGAACCGGTTCAAATTTTCTTGGATTAGTTGGTGTCTAAGAAAAAATTTAGGGATTACGTAAAACGCTCCGCAAGGAACGATGTACTTAATTGATCTCCCTCTAGTACTATCCTTACCTGGCTGACCGAGTAAAACTTTGATCTTTTCACTTAAAGAGTTTTTGATTAGGAGCTGGTCTAGCTGAGTTTGTCTTAACCCTAGAGTTTAGAGTGATGAAAAGTGATTGTTTTTTTATTTGTTTTACTTTTTCCTTTTCTTCTCATAATCTTTAAAAAACTAACTTTTATTTTTCTTAAAAAAATTATAAAACGAAATTGTTTTGGTGTATGCGAATGTGGATTAGGGACAACACAAATCATTTAATTCGTTTTGAACAAATTCAAAAAATGACCTACAATAATCCACCGGTTCTTCAAGACATGTGTTACTCCAATAGGAATGCAATCCCTTCTTGCATTAAGCTCCCTGAAGAAAATGGAACAAATTTTAAGCTTCGACCACACTACATAAACATGCTTCCAAACTTTTTCGAAAATGAAACTGAAGACGCCTATATTTTTATCTCAGAATTTAAGCAAGTATGTCTTATAATCAAAATTAGAGAATTACCTGAAGATGCAATCAAACTCAGATTCATTCTGTTTGCTCTCAAGGACAAGGCAAAAAAATGACTATATAGCTTACCTACAAATTTTATCTCAACTTGGGATGAATTTGTCACCGTATTTCACTGTTTCTTAAGAAAATTTTCCCAATTCATAAAATGGTTAAGCTTAGAAATAACATTCAAAATTTTAAAATTGTCCCAGGAGAACCTTTCTGGAAGTATTTTGACCGATTCAAGTACATTCTTATTCAATGTCCTCACTATGGTCTCGAAAAATGACGATTATACCAAATCATCTATGAAGGATTAGATTATTCTTCAAAAACTTCATTAGAGTCAATGTGTCAAGGGGATTTCATGAAGAAAAATGTCGACGAAGCTTGAAAATTTTTAGATAGTCTATCTGAGAAAACCATACAGTGGGAACACTGTGATGATAGAGTTGTATCAGTTCCCCAACCCAAGTACAATGGTCTTTCCTTAGAATCGAACATAGCATCTGAAACTAAGATGACTATAATCATGCGCAGATTAGAAACCCTAAAAATCAAAGAAAGAGCCCCAGCTCAAATGAATCAAGTTTCTACCTCAAGTTGTCACAACTATCTTTCACCATCTCATGTTTCAGAAGAATGTCCTCTTGTGGAAAACAATCAACCACTAGGATAGGTTAACGCTACATTCCAACGTCCTGCGAATGATCCATTTTCTCAAACTACAACCCAGATTGGAGAAATCACTCTAATTTTGCATGGAATCAAGAAAATCTCTCCGGAAATCAATTTTTCATTTCCACTTCAAACCAACAATTTCCTAGAAAAAACACAGCTCCTTTCAGTTCTCAACCAAACTTTCAACAACCAAATCTGCCATATCAAAATCAGTCTCCTCATCATCAAGCTGTAACTCACACTCCCCCCAACTCAGACCATGATAAACGTCTCAATGTCCTGAAAAAAGGTTTGAAAACCATAATTAAGGTATCTACACAAACCACGAATAATGTTGACTCAAACATCCAGCACTTTGAACTCCTTTATGCAATCAACCGGACAAATACTCAACTCCAACACTCAAGCCATAGGTAGATTAGAAACATAACTTAGTCAACTAGCTAGTATCGTGAGTGAAAGAGAGAAATAAAAATTTTCGAGTCAACCTGTGGTCAACCCTAAGGACACATGATCTAGTTCATCCTATGAAGCTCAAGTGAATGCAATTCACTACGGTCGGGGAAACAAGTCGATAATCAAGTGAGAACACCTCCAAGTCAAGCTTTTGATCCAGAACAAATTCCTTCTCCTTCTGATGACTCTATTCAACAATCACCCCTCTCACAGATGATAAAGAACCCGAACCTAAACCTGAGCCTACTTTTGATAGGTTTAGACCAGTTGCTCTTTTCCCAGATAGACTCGGGCCTAGGAAAACCTCAGGAGGAGAATATCCTAAAAACTTTCAAACAAGTTAAGATCAACATTTCTCTCTTAGATATAATTGAACAAATCTCACCTTATGCTAAATTTTAAAAAGAATTGTGCACTAAGAAGAGAAGAATAAATGTTTCGAAGAAAGTCTTTTTGGCTACTAATACCAGTGATATGCTCTCAAAGCCAATACCTTTAAAACGTAAAGATCCAGGTTCTCCCATCATTTCATGTGTCATTGGTAATACTCACATTGATAAGACGCTTTTAGACTTGGGGGTCAGTGTCAATTTGCTTCTTTATTCAATCTACTAACAACTAGGTGTAGGTGAACTGAAACCAACCCGATGCACCTTATAATTAGCTGATAGATCTGTCAAGATCCTCATGGGTGAGATAGAGGATGTTCTGATTAAGGTTGAGAATTTTATTTTTTCAGTGAATTTTGTAGTATTGGAAACACAACCCGTTTCCAATCCCAAATGACAGATACATGGCATCTTAGAACGATCATTCTTAGCCACTTCTAATTCTCTCATTAATTGTAGAACTGGTCAAATAAAGCTGTCCTTTGAGAATTTGACTGCTGATCTTAACATTTTCAATCCAGGGAACCAACTGAATAATCAACCTCCAGAAATAAATTACATTCAGGAAAGTCCAGAAGAAGAAGATCAGTCAGATCCAAGTTTTGAGAAAACTTTTGGTGAAAAGCTGAAATTATTAGAAAAAGCAGATCAGGTTTTGCAGAATAAGGATACTGTGTTAAATTCATGCTTCTTGAACACAACATTTGAAGAACTATTTCTTGATGAACTTAGATTCTTAGAAAATAAATAATCAAATTTTTATACCTCAACAATAAATCTTGGGTTTGAGGAAATTATAAAAAATGTATTGATTGTTAGAAGACAAACCTTCTAAAATCAAGAATCTAAGTTCAGTAAGTAAGCTATATAGTCATTTTTTTTGCCTTGTCCTTGAGAGCAAATAGAATGAATCTGAGTTTGATTGCATCTTCAGGTAATTCTCTAATTTCGATCATAAGACATACTTGCTTAAATTCTGAGATAAAAATATAGGCGTCTTCAGTTTCATTTTCGAGAAAGTTTGAAAGCATGTTTATGTAGTGTGGTCGAAGCTCAAAATTTGTTCCATTTGCTTCAGGGAGCTTAATGCAAGAAGGGATTGCATTCCTATTAGGGTAACACATGTCTTGAAGAACCGATGGATTATTGTAGGCCACTTTTTGAATTTGTTCAAAACGAATTAAATGATTTATGTTGTCCCTAATCCACATTCGCATACACCAAAACAATTTCTTTTTATAACTTTTTTAAGAAAAATAAAAGTTAGTTTTTTTAAGATTATGAGAAGAAAAAGAAAAAAGTAAAAAGTAAAACAAATAAAAAAACAATCACTTTTCATCACTCTAAACTCTAGGGTTAAGCCAAACTCAGCTAGACCAGCTCCTAACCTAAAACTCCTTAAGTGAAAAGATCAAAGTTTTACTCAGTCAGTTAGCTAGGTAAGGATAGTACTAGAGGGAGATCAAAGATCAATTAAATACATCGTTCCTTGCGGAACGTTTTACACAACCCTTAAATTTTACCTTAGACATCAACTAATCCAAGAAAATTTGAACCGTTTCACTTTGAGATTCATTGTTCCTTAATGAGCTCGAGTCCTTAGGGGCTAACATCTAATGAATTTTAAGAGGTTTGGGTTTGTGTAGTGAGGAATTAATGATTTGTGGGCTAAGAAAAGGGTGATGAAATCCCTCACATTATCTTGATTAGAGGGTTTTGCCCTTAAGAATATTTTCAAGTGTGTGCCAATCAAGATGCTCAAATCACTTTGGTGAATTCCTACTATTATATGCAATGCAACCCTAGGAATTGAAAGCGACTAAAAAGATAGTAAAAAAATCTTTTTTTTAATGGTCAACAATCAAACAAAAGTGAGAAGGGAGATATTGTTTGAATTATTATCTTGTTAGTAATTATTCAAGTGGAGGGTGAGTTTTATTATGGTCGACGAAAATATTTTTTTTAAATCCTACTTGTCTCTAATTGTGAAGACTAACTAGAGGGTGGAATTAAAAATACTAGATAGAAGACTTACCTCAAGCAAATCTTCAAATCATTGATCTCCAATTCTTGATCTTCAAGTTCCAAGTGGTTCCTTCACAAGAAAACACACAAGTTAAAAAACCAAAATAATTAAAATCCTACTAAAATACATTCCCCGGCAACGGCGCCAAAAACTTGACGGGGCATGAATGATGTCCAAAAGTTACAAGTGCACAACCAATTAAGTTATAGTATAAATATTTATTGATCCCACAATGAAGATGTTTATAAGAAATAATTAGAATCGGTTATTATGTTGTGTGTGTGACAATTGGAGTGATGAATGTGATTATGGGGAGATAGAGAGAGTGATTGTGTGTGAATAAGCACAAATAAGATTGAGAATGGATAGATAAAGAGTGGATGTAATAAAAAGAATCAATGTAATCAAAAAGGAAAGAAAGAAAGATGAAGAAAATAAAATCAAGACCAATAAAAGAAAAATCAAGAATTAAAGGAAAAAAATAAGAAAGTAAAAGATGAAGGATTCAATTAAAGATATGAGGAATCTAGAATTGAATCCACTAGCTAATCTCGTTTATAAAAGGTGAATCATTCTCTTTTTATCATATTCTACTTTAGATTTATTAAGTATAGATTATCAAACCACTCAAGGAAAATATAACCTATCAAATTATCATCCAAATAAAATTATTACTCATGAAAAGAATAACTAAATAGTAATTCTAGAATTCCTATTAAGATAGAATCACGTTGAATTCAAGAGTTTTTTTTTGGAATTACTATTTAGTTGTTATTCTTTTCACGAGTAATAATTTTATTTGGATGATAATTTGATAGGTTATACTTTCTTTGAGTGGTTTGATAATCTATACTTAATAAATCTAAAATAGAATATGATAAAAAGAGAATGATTCACATTTTATAAGTGAGCTTAGCTAGTGGATTCAATTCTAGATTCCTCATATCTTTAATTGAACCCTCCATCTTTTACTTTCTTGTCTTTTTTTCCTTTAATTCTTGATTTTTTTATTGGTCTTAATTTTATTTCCTTCATCTTTCTTTCTTCTTTTTTATTACATTGATTCTTTTTATCACATCCACTCTTTATCTATCCATTCTCAATCTCATTTTGTGCTTATTCACACACAATCACTCTATCTCTCTATAATCACATTCATCACTCCTAATTGTCACACACAACATAAAAACCGATTCAATTATTTCGTACAACCACCTTCCACGTGGGATCGATAACTTTTTACACTATAACTTGATTGGTTGTGCACTTGCAACTTTTGGACATCATTTATACCACGTCAGTGATATATAAGAAGGTTTTTCTTTTCCTTTTTTAAGAAGAATAAAGAAAAATAGTTCACAAAGACGAAACTAAAACTTATATGGCAAGAAAAAATAAGTAAAGTTAAGATCCATAGCAGACAACATTTGGCAAAGAAAATTATGTCTTGTGCACCATTATTCCAAATGTATATTTTACGGTATACACTGTTTAAGGCTTAAAGCCTCCAAAATATATTTGATTTAGACGATCTAAAATGTACAAGATAAATACAAAGTCACGGCACATAACTTTATGTAACTCTAGTATATTGTGTTATTATATATTTAAAAGAAGAAGCCATGTAGGGGTCAATTGTAAATGTCTTAACATACAAAGAACTAAGTCAAGAGTTAGATGAACTTACATTGGCATCATCCTCCATTTATACACTGCATCCAAGAAAACAATAATGCATTAGGACACCGCAATAATGCAAATTTCATGCAAAATAAACAGATTATCTGCAGAAACTAACTATAAGACTTAACAATAATGATATCAATTCCAAAAGAAAACATGGTAGGCTAATAAATGAATAGAAAACCAAAAGAAAAAAGGCCTTTAATTAAACAAAAAACTAATGTAATAAGAAATAGAAAACCCGAATGAGTATATATCACATGACAAACTTAAATGTAAAACAACCCAATATTTTACGACTTGGAAAAAATAAAATCTAATGAAACCTATCACTGAAGCTAACAATAGAATGTATCCTCTGACAAGTTTGACTTCTAAAAAAGGTCGATAGAAAGGAAGGCAAAATCAATAGAGGTAACAGGCAAGGATAGTAAGGCTATGTTCAATTTGACGGAAAATAAGGGAAAATAAAATGAAAGGAAAATAAAAAGAAAAGAAAAGAGAAGGAAAGAGAAATAAGTTACTTTGTGATATTTGGTTTGGAAGAATCTTGAAGGAAAATGATAAAGTGAAATTTTCTCTTTTTTATTAATTTATTACAAAAATGACGAGAAATTCAATTAATTCAATATTTTCTTACAATCTATATCAATTTAATATTTGGAAATAATTCGATAATTTAAAAATTATGAGAATAAGATAATGAATTGAGTACAAATTCGACCTTAATGTAGACAATATCCAACAAAAAATATTTTATAGACATCACAGTGACGGAGTGCGACATGTATTTTCACTTTTGATTTTTAAATTAGTGCACACAATTAAGAAATTGATACAACAGTAAAAAAAATCAATAAGTACTACTGAATGTTAAAAATAATATGTTTTATACATTGATTCAACCATTGAATTTAAACCTGTAGACATGCAAAAATTTTATTGTTTGATTTTTTTTGCTCATGTGTGTAAACCTATATATATGAAAGAATAAACTTCTTTTATTTATGGGTGCTACTATAGGGACCCGAAATAGGGGATCCAAGGGGGGGCAGGTGAGGTGTCCCCCCTGAATGCATGATGTCATGTTCATGAACAATGCATCATGCATCTTGTGTCCCCTATTTGGGGTCCCTGAGGCATTTTTGTTTATTTATTTCATTGCTTCCTTGCCTTGGGCAAATACAACACTTAGTTAGCCTCTTGTTTGATTTATCACTCACTAGTGGGGCCTACATGGCCCCCATCAAACCCCACATGGAATGTAGCAAGACCGCAAGGCGGTGATGTGGTGATGACAGTAAGGTTTGATGTCGGATGATGGCATCCATCGTCCAACGTCCTCTCTAGATTTGGATTTTTCTCTCCCTCTCTCGTTTTTCATTGGGTTTAATGAAGAAAGGGGAAGTAAAAAATTCACGGCTATTTTCCTTCTAAATTCTCACCATTTCATTTTCTTTCTAACCAAACAGTGGAATTTATTTCCTCACCCACTTTTTTTATTTCTTCCATTTTCACTCAAACGAAACATAGCCTAGAGAAATTACTTCCCAATGGTGGGAGATCATGAAATTATGAATTATCAATTATGTAAGTGCAAATAAGCAGAAAGTACATGGTTTTAGCAGTGGAGAAAAGGTTAGCTGTCCCATTCATTCACAATCAAAAAGTATGTGGAAAAATTGGCATGAATTTCTATCCCCTGTTCCTTGGGCTTCAATACTGATGTTGAAGAAAGTTTTTATCTTAAAATGTAAAGTTGAAGCATAATGGATACCCTCAGCTTCCAACTTGGATTCATTACAGATAAGGAATAAACCCCAAGATTTCATAGGTAATGAACATCAAATAAACCATTGATCTAAAAAATGAAGCCACTGAATAACTACACATTTCTCCTAAAAATAACAATAAATAACTTCCAATAGCATATCAATCTTAATAAGGGTTAATAACCAATGGGTTTCATAAATAAAATTGGAAATGATAACAAAACAAGCAATAATGCGAAACAATCGACCCTTGTGCATTCGATCTACTAGAATTAAAAGTTCATGATTCTTAAAGAGAAATTTCTAAACGTTACCTACCCGCGACCAACTAAAACCCTAGCGGAAAAAAAATCACATACAACACCAATAAAATAAATTCGAATCGCATGGAAAAAATATAACAATTTACTGTAATTAAACAAGGGCGATGACAACTTACAAGGCTAAAAATTCGCAGATGAGAGTTTCACGAACGAAGACCGCCAGCAACTAGAAAAGAGAACGAACAAAGAAAACCCAAGATCAAACCCAAGATCAGCAGAGGGTTTATACCTGAAACTGCGGGAGCCCCAAATTACCAAAATAACCTTCATAGTGACCCGCAACCGCAATCGCAACTAGAGATGCAAAAAGGCTAATGGGTACACGCGGATACATCCGCATCCGATATGATAAATTCTAGGGAAAAATGCTTCCGGCCCCAAAACCCAAGAAAACATGCTTTCCGCCCCCAAGACTTTGTCAACGGGTGCTTTGCCCTCAAAAATAAATATTTTGTTCCATGAGCCTCCAAAACACAAAACCTAAGAGATAAAAATATGTGAACCATAATACCTTTCTCTCTCTCTCTCTCTCTTTTTATCATGATGTACTGAGATGATAGTTAAAATGATTGATAAGAATTATTTTTTTTTTTGTTGATGAGGGGAACTAACTGTTTGTATTGGGAGATTGTTAAAGCTACGGGTTAATTGTTAAAGTTACGAGTTAATTGTTAGGGTTATGGGTCAATTGTTAAGGTTATGGATCCCTTCTCTCTCTCTCTCTCTCTCTCTCTCTCTCTCTCTCTTTTATCATAATGTACTGAGATGATAGTTGGGGGCTCAGAGAACAAAATCTTTATTTTTTGGGGCAAAGCACCCGTTGACAAAGTTTTGGGGGCGGGAAGCATGTTTTCTTGGGTTTTGAGGGATGGAAGCATTTTCCCCTAAATTCTATATCTGGACGAATGAGACAGTAGGGTTTTGTCGCTGAGCATTCGGTTGGTTGATCGGTCGACCTAAATAATGCCAACCGAATTGCAACCGACATTCTGCTAAGAATTGAACCACACGGAGGTGAGTCGGCTTTGGTTCGGGTCGGTGCGGTTTGTTGGCTTGCACTGGGAATAATGACAACTTATGCAGCTTGATATATAAACTCAAAATGCAACAGCAAGAAAAAACAACAAACAATATCATAAAAAACTGAATAATTTGTACGAGATCAACGATCATTAGTCTAAAATTAATCATGCTATCATAGACTCACAAATTCCAAGTTCATTTAGAGATCTATAAAAGATTAAAAATTTAAAATTATTAACTTTATGCAATTCACCTCGGTGTGAGAGTGGGAGAGAGGAAGTGTGGCTGGCGGCTGACGACGGAGTGCCAAGCGCGGAACTGCGGAGTGCGGGTAAAGAGCGAGAGAGAGGAAGTGCGGTTGGAGGCTACGGGTTTCTAATGGGTACATGTTAAAAATTAAAAGGTTATTAGTGATGCGGTTGGTTCGGGCGGTTCGGGTTGAAAAGTTTTCAACCCGACCCGAACCGATCTACAAACAAAACCGATATGAACTGCTAATTTCGGGTCGGTTCGGTCGATTTTTTCGGTTTTGACGGAACTATGCATAGCCCTAGTCGCTATTAGTCCTGAATATCTTTGGTGTTTTGATATTAACCTCTCAAACTTTAAACTTTTGATATTAGTCCCTCAAGATTTCGCATTGTGTTAATATTATTCTCTATTGTTAGTTAGGTTATAAATGCATGTAAATATTCTGTTATATTTAATCCCGGTCACTAATGTATGTTTTACGACCAATATTATTCTTTAGTTAGGGTTATAAATGCATGTAAAGATTTTGTTATATTTAATCACAGATGTTTCTGAGCTATAAACCCAGACTTGTTAAGAGCCTCATACTCGTTTAATATAACCCACAATTTTTCTTCTTTTTCTTTCCCCAACAGTAAAAATTCATTATACTCCCACAAAAATAACTCTTGGGAGTATTTTGGAAATTAGCCAATAATGGTTAGGGTAAACCCAACCATGGTTTACTTTTTTACAGTAATATTAACAGAAAACTAATATCAATATAATATGATAACCTGAGAGACTAATATCAAAATATGAAGATTTGAGGGACTAATATAAAAACACTAAAGATCTAAAAGGACTAATGTTGAAATGACTCATAAGAATATTAATTATCGGACAAAGTTTTGAAATAGACAAAATTTAATATTTTATTAGCAAAATAAACCCAAAAATATTTAATTAGCAAAATAGACTAACTTTCATCCACATAGTTGTAATCTAGTTTATTTTACTAATTAAATTTCTAAATTAGAATCTCAATCCTCTATACTCTTAATTATAGAGGATGTTTACAATTAGTTGCATGGGCTAATGGTATTGGTTTGTGTTTAGTGTGCCCCAAAGTTAAAAGTTTTTATATATAATTTAGATAAAGAATATAATTTATGGGGTTCTCTGGGTGAAGCGACATTATTGGTGGATTGTAGAGTTTCTCTACAACTAAGGATGTAGAGGATCTCTAGCCTAATGAGTATATTTCAAAAATTTAGCCATAAGCTATTTTGTCAAAAAAATTTATAAATATGATTATAGAAAAAAAGGGAAAAAATAATTTTAATGTAATTATAATATTTAAGTGTTCTGCTTTATAATTGTAGTTAGCAAGTGTATAAATAACAAAATAAATTGCTACAACAATTGTTTCTTGGCAGGCAATTGCAACAACTATTGTTATATTTTAAAATTATAATTGTAGTTGAATTTGCTGCATACAAATAAGAGAAGTTGAGCTTAACTTCAAACAAACAACAAAAATCCCACAAAAAAAAAAAAACACACACCCACAATATCGAAAAATTTACATGACAATGTGAAATATGTAGTTAGTAAATCAATAATGCATCTATATATAATAAAAAGAAAATATTGAGACAAAGTTGATCTATTTCAAAAGTTTCTCCACTAATCATTACACAGCACCCGTTTGCATCCGTACCCGCAATCCAGGCAAAACCGTAACAAAGTACAGAACTGATGGCAAACATCGAAGCAGCACATTTCTCACTCCTTGTGCCCTAAAACCCCAACCTCGGCAAAAATTGTAGCTTTTCAGTCCTCATCCATGGCGGCAGCCGACGGCGGGCGCACTCGAACCGCAACAAATTCAACGGCGGCGGCGTTGAAGGGATAGAGTAGAGGGTCAATGGCTGAAGCATTCATAGCGAGCACGCTGCAGACGTATCCGTACGTTATGGGGACTCGTACATCTTAGTCTACGGCGGCCTTGGCGCGTACATCACCTACAGGTGGACGAAGCTCCGGCGAACTGAGAGTCGGGTTCGGATCCTTCAAGAGAGGCTCCGGAAGCTCGTCGAGGCCGAAGAATCCGCTTCGGGTTCGGGATCCAATGGCTCTGGTTCGTCCAAGACTGGATCTTGAGGAGCTGGGTCAGTTCTTTAGTTCATATTTTATGCAGTTGGGGAATTAGGGCTCATTGATAATGTCTTTTCTTGAGATTTCATTCAGGGTTTGTGAAATTTAATAGCATGGCAAAGTTTTGTGGATATAAATTAAGGGGAAATTTTGATCAATTTCCAACTTTCAAAGCATTTAGGAGCTTGTGATTCTTGCTTTTGCAGCATTACCAAACGATAGCGCCGAGGGGGGCGGGGTGTTCTATATATGGATTTGAATAAGGAAACAATCTTGACAATTGACCAAATCCCTGCTTCATAAACATAAGATATACTCACAAAATTGCCCATATTTAATCACAAAACTGGCCTAAAAGTGCGGACCTCAATTTTCACTGGCAAAAATATTCCCCCTACATAATTTTACTCACCAATGTGATGAAATTTTAAGATTTGAGGGGGTTTTCTGATAGCCCCTAAACTTAGGGGCTCTTTCTGATACTTTGAAAGCTATGG